ACTGCCACGTGATTCATTTAAAGTCATATAACTTAGTGAACTCGGACAGAATGCTAATGATGCACTTATAACGAGCATTCGAGGAATGATTGAATGTTCAGCTTTGATCCCTCAAGACGAGTACGAGTACGATAAACCCGAATTTGGTATGCTAGAGTGCGAATGTTGGTTAAATAACTTGATGCTTGGAAAAATAAGCATTCATTTGCAGACGAAAAGTAGCGAATTAGCGAAAGTTTGAGAAAAGTGGCTCACTAATGCGCTGATGAAAGACAATAGAGCACGTTATCGCTACTTTATGTCGCTAAAAATATATTGTAGCGGAAGTTATCGCTACAAATTTCTGCCATATCAGAAAAGTAATGCGCTAACGTGCTACTAAAATAAGTTGCTCGGCTAGTAGCAGAATAGCGCACTAGTGCCTGAAGGTCTCTTGTGCGGTGCTGCACGTCGCAGGTATTATTCCGCCACAACGGCAGCTATTGATAATAGCGAGTCAGTTGTGACAGTTACATCTAGCTATAGAATCGAGAATAGAATGTTGCTAACAGGAACACTGCGAAAAATTGAACGCTCCAAAACAACGGAAGGGCTCTGGCACTATTCGATGCTTATTAATTGGAACCAATGTGGGAAATGAATTGTGGCTGTTTAATTCGAAATCGATTAAGGGAATCAACTATTATGTAGTGATTGTGAAGAAATTGTACAGAACAGCGCATTTTTGATTATTTATCTTTAGTCACTAATTTTGTGAACACTTTCCGCATCTTTGATTGGTATCGAGAAATTAATTGAGGAGAATATTAACACAGAATAACAGTGAAATTATTAGACATAGCCCCTCCATTCTCATCGCTTTTGGCTGATAGTGGGGCACACATGGTTTCATGGTTCGTTTCAGTACATTCATCCACCACATTTTTGGATGAAGTGCCTCTTAGCCATATGCGATGTGAGCATTGTACAGCTTACGAGTTCGTACATGTGTCACGTAGCAGTTTATTACAGTTGGACAGGATACTGCCTTAGAATTGACAAATTTAAGAAACTTCTTCGTTATTTCTCTAGACACCGGTTCTCATTTTGCAACTTATGGAGCATTGATTCATAAGTAAAGGTCGCGTACTGGACTGAAATCATAATATTTTTGTTCGTATTCTCACAAGCTTTTTTATAAATGTTTTATTGTATGCATCATATGTTATTAATTCATCATCGCTAAAAGCATTAAATAAGCAGTGAGGCAAAAAATGGTTAATGCACTAATACGGCTGATATCAATCGTGTGGTCAAAACTGGAGTTGCACGCTTGGTGAAGATAATAGCCTTATTAGTTTATGAGACTACTGTCTTTATAGGATGATCAACTCTTACTGGTATCAAAAAGTTACTGTTCTCAGAACACTACGATTGAATGTATTCGTGGAAGACGAGAATCAGGTTCTAAGAACGCAAGTAGAGTCGGAACATTAACCTTAGTACTTCGTGCTTCACTGGCTAGCGTACAATATCAAGAATGCGACGACAGGTTTTGTTTTCATCATTGTATGCGTGCATGCGATACGCATCAATCATTTTGCATCGAATGATGGATGTTTCGCTCATTCGAATCCTTCTCATCACGTCATCATCATTCGTCTTTTTTCACATCTCTTCCCATATTTTGACATTACATTCACTTTGCAATCACGCCTACCATACGCTCCGAACTGTTTAATTCATCTGAAGCAATGTGACTGTATAAAAAGACGTTTCTCCTCCCACGTCGTCGAGTTGATCATCGTCAATAGAACAATTGTGTTGAATATTTCACCTAGATAAGCTTTTATTCTTAACAGTATATTATCACAGTTCAGCTCAATGATTTCGGGATATTTCGATATATTTTATAATGTCAATACGATCAAGGAACCAGCCTGAAATATAGCTTGAAGTAGTGCATTGTGCAAAACTGAACGGCTTTGGTTTGAAACTTGTACACGTTTATGGCACTAAAAAGTGTTGTAAGAAGTTCCAGGAACTATGAGCAATATGTTCGTTCGTTATGCCGAAGTTGGTTCAATGTGTCTAGTCATGTCTATTGTTGTAAAGTTCCCAATGAAATTTGTCTGTCGTCACAATTGTATGATGAGCGAAGTTGTCATATTAAATTTCGTTTGATTAGTTAATGTGTTTATTTAAATAACGTATGAACGTGTTTTAATCCTATCAGTGCTTCAAACTACCATTCAAGAAGAGTCGTCGCAAATTATAAACAAAAAAGGCATTGAACGGTTAAACAATTAAACATTCGTGTCAATATATGACGGATTCTGATTCATTCAATACCTTGTGAAGAATATGGGATTCAAAACTTTTGCTCAAATATGAGATTGCGCTTTTCTACTCGAGCTTGGTTTTCCAAAATATGTCCATACTTAGAATATTTTTGATTTGGATTTCACCAAAAAATCAAACAGGGATTATTGGTACAATTGTATTCAGTTTTCTTGCTTAAATACCGTCATCATCAGTTTCTCTGTTTACAGGTTTTGGAATACGGTATTATCGAGTTAAGATAAGACCTTCTTGAGGTCTTATCTTAACTCGATCGAGCTAAGGTAAGACCAAACATGTGTAGTGGGTGAGGATAAGATTCATTCGTACTGCTCGACAGATGCACGTTAATATGACTCTTAATAGTACTCCAATTCCCTCTCGCAGAGCTGAATTTCTGAAACACTGATTAAGGAATAATTCTGGAATCGGCCGACGAAGTGTAAATTGTACAATGTCAATACCTCTTAAAATTTTCAGAGTTTCTATACACTGAGTTTTTCTTATACACGCTGCTGCTATGCCTCGACCCTCGGCACCAACAGTTCTTAATACTTTGATGGAATCACCAAGAGAGTAAGTATTTCATTGATAGTGCCTGATCATTCAGCACTTCTTGGTAATAACTTTTCTGACTATCGCTTGAAAACCGGTTAATGTCACTTCACCCGATCAAATGGCCTCCAAGACGGCTGTTTTAGCAAAATTACTAATCCCAATTGAAGAAGTTAATCGAATCGTACTTTATCGAAAGCAGTGAGTCTGTTCATAAAGTAAGACTCATGCAGTGAATTCCAACCCACTAAGCGATCACTAAAACATTCCCTCAGTAATAAAATAAAATATCTTCTCTGCACCACATATTATAGATAGTGATAGGTTCCTTCTTATGAAACAAATCGACTGAAAAATTCAGTTTAACATAATTAGTTAGTTTCTAGCACTCCTTTCATTCACTCAAATGTGCTCTGTTTTTCTTCTCTTTTCACAGAGATCGCTCTTCACTATCGGTGAACTTAATCTTTCTTTTGAGATTGGGGTTTGCAAAATCCCGATCATTTTCTCAAACCCTGTATCTTTTTTTCTGTCCCGCGACGATCCCAGGATTGAGCAACTGTTCAAATATAGCAGTGTGACATGCTCATCACATGCGTTTTGAACCAACGTGTTCATAAGTTAACAGTAAACAGTTGATTCAATAAAACTCAACAAAAAAAGCATCAACAATACAAGACAGGTACAATTCATACACAGATAAAATTTGCGATCAGATCGATTTTCTGCAATGAGGTGAAATTTGTATATTAGGAGGCGCATCATTGAGTTACATACATACTCTATTAAGAAAGTGGCTCCACAATGCTTTCTCTCACCCGATATCCCACTATCTTACGTTGTTGATCAAGTGTGAGTTTTTTTTTACATCATGTGAATTTTGTTGAATTTATGATTGTTCTCTAGGTTTTTGTTTCTTGCGGAACTCTACCAGAAGAAAGTTAATAGAAGAAAGGATCCTAAAGAAAGGAACCGTTTCATCCAATAAACCCTATCATTTCCAGCAGTAAAAAATTTCAGTACCAATAAGGTTGGCATTCAAATAGCGTTGGTTTTTATTGGATGAATATTCATCCAGAGTTACGCTGAACTTTTCACAATTCAGTAACGAATCCTCTTGAATAGCGTCTGATTTTGCAGTTTTGCAGTAATCCATTAATAAGCTCATGACAGTATTTGCAGAAGAGGGTAGCGAAGTTTTGCTGGATTGAAAAACCTTATGAAGAGTTCCATTTGTCGCAAGAGTATTGAAGCTCAAATCATCAGCAGAGCAAAGCTTGGGGCGATCACTTCGCTGAGTGAATCAGTAGTTGGTGTAGGATTAGGTTTAAGAAATTTGGTAATAGGTGGGCCTCTTGTAGCCTCTGGAGCATTTGATTCGTTGCAGAATGTTATGTTGCGCTTTGTCGTTCAATGCACAAGCAGTCCCTCTGGGACAACCCTTTCGTTGTTTTTTTTTTAAATTCACCGCATATTTCACATTTCACGGTTTCATGCTCCTTTTTGAAAAGAAAATATTCCCAGCACTGAGAATGACTAGTGCTGTTTTATATTTTTTTAGAACTTGCACAGTCCGAAGACATATTTTAAGAATAAATGCAGAATTGAAGGATTTGAAAGAAAAAGCAAAGTTGAAATGAAAGATGAAGCAACTGTGACATCATGAAAATCACGGTCACTATTTTATGAAAAACGAAAGCCGAGATGGCGATATGCAATGAATCATCATCATTTCATTACCACGTGGGTGGTAAACAGCAAATATGAGTGCATGTGAATAAGCTGGGAATTATTAGATCGATTCAAGACGGGTAAATGAATCCTGGGATCGGGATTTAAAATTCGCAATTTGGGAATCCCGAGGTCCCGTGCAAACTCTAATTGAGATATTAACTGTCATTTCAGCATTCACGTATAACCTTTGGCAATACAGTAATGACCATCAGCAGTGAGATTTAATGAAATATTTCTATCTGTTCGAGTGGAAGGAAACTAACTATGATTGCAACAGAACTGAGCACTCAAAAACGCACGGATGCGGTTTGACACCTTGTCAACAAAAGAGAAATCCGATCAAGAACGATCGAGCATTTGAAATAAAGATGGATGTTACAAACTGAAAAGCACTGCACAATCGTTTCAGTGAGGGATACTCGTTGGTGAATTCGACAGCTACCGTTGAGGATGCTGCGTTTGGTCGTAAATTTCGTAACATTCATGGCATGAGTTGGATGGTCACATGCCTATTTATCGTCGGTGAAACAGCAGGAGGTGGACTGATCGCAATGCCAACCGCTGTTGTGGCTACTGGTTGGTTGTCCAGTGCCATTTTTAAAGCGTTCTCACTTTTGATGCAATCAAATGATACACCATGAAAATCAGACAATGTACTATTATCATAATCACTACTGCATTGCAATTAGGGTTTGCAAAATCCCGACGATTTTTCAATCCCGGGAGCGGGATTTAATCCCGGGATAATCCCGGGATCGGACAATTATTGAAATATCGATGCGGGACATGTTCAAAAACATTTTTTCGAACCGATATGATCATTATTAATCAGAAAGGAGTTGACTCAACAAATTATTGAACAAATTCGAGGAACCAAATTATTTAAATTCAAATTAATATTTCATATAATCTTGCTAATGATCATGTCGTAAGGGCATACTGCATTTTCTATGCTAAGGCATCTTGTCTTCTCGGGTCTAAGCTAATAACAGTACACTTGCATGTGAATATGAAATTCTTGATTCTCAAACACTTATTTGCAGTGCTTCAGGTCCATTTTCTCACAGTATTAACGTCAGGTGAATTCTGCCATTTCGGAAATTTCGATTTTTTACGGAAGAAATGCATCATTTAAATTTTGAAAAAATTAAAAGTTCAGAGTTTATCTAAAAAGTGAAAAAAAAATCCGCAATGGATTTTCATCGAACCATCGAGCACTAATATGTTTGACAATTTCGATCAGAGATCATGGAAACGTACTTGATATTTAAGCTTAAGATCCTTTTAAATGGAACAATTTACGACAGTGAATTCTCACTATAAGTGAACTCAGTGAGAATTAATGTACCTTTCGATGGGATGAAAATGTTTCCAAATAGCGAAAAAGACTTGCAGTCTTTAGAACCTGCAGTTGAATTAACAAATGAAATATTGAAGCCGAAAAAATCGCGTTAGAAGAAACGACTCAAAATTTCGTTGAATTTTGTTGCTCTTGGTTCTTATTAGAAAATGTAATTATTTCTGTTAGTATACTTAGAAATGCATCTAGATGAGTGTGATATAAAGCAATGAAGAGCAGAATAACTAGTTGAATATCCTATGAAATGTTACGTAAAAGTTCATCGAGCTGTCGTTGATCATGTCATTCGTCCAATTTGCGTCTGTTTCCTCAGCTATTCATCAATGATAGAGGGCAAACAACAAAGCATATGAATGAGATGGGAATGATTAAGGCTTACTTCAAGATGAGCATACTATCGAAATTCACGCAAATTGACCTGTTTTATCAAATCCCGAAATCCCGGGATTTTTCAAGACTTGAATCCCGGGATCGGGATCAGAACTGAAATCTCGGGATCTTGGGATCCTGGGATCCCGTGCAAACCGTAATTGCAATTGAAGGTGTTCGTAGTGAGTGCGTTACCGTATCTCGTGCTGTTGAGCTTAATAAATTGGCCCAGCACTAATTCGCTTCATTTTGAACCGAATCAGTAAAACTGTTGGGTATCAGCGTCTTCTTTCAGCAGTCTTGAAATGATCGTCAAATCATTGATCACAAAGATCAGTTTATAACCTAAAGTGATTTGCGCTTTGCGCCTGCGAGGAAATTTCAAATAGAAAGCAGGCTTGTTGAAATTATTTTGTGCTGTTCCTGTGACCAAACGAGCAAGAGAACACGATTAATGACGGAGAATTCGTTCATTCTTTGCGTATGTGAAAATAATAATAAAAATTTCATCACGATTTGTTGACGATCAATTAGATACTTCTTTTGTGTCCCAATTAATGAAGTAAAACGATGGACGCATCATGATAACTAGAATAAAATCGTGAATCCGTGTGCCTGAATGATAGCGAATGGAAATGTGTCCTAAATAAATTTGATGATAAATTAACGAAAACATTTTCAAATGACACAGAGTATTACAGCCCAGAACTTTTTTACATATGAAAAGCACTCGTACTTACTGCATCTTTAAGTAGAATTGACTGCGCAGACGCCTATTATTAACACGTGGTTTTCACGAGACTTTTGTTTGTCGATGAGGTACGCCACCGTTATGAAAGTCTGTTGCTTGAAATTCATATCTTCTTGTCGGTAACATGTTCCATTGGATTTGTTAATTTGAACAAATGCTTTCTATTTGATTGTCTTGTACATTGCGGTCAACTCGTTGATGTTCTATTTCAATGGTCTAAATTAGCACCGTAACAAACGAAAATATTCGTTAAATGTAGCATTTTCATTGGAATCATAAGTAATATTATATTTTGTGAATCACCGATTTCTTCAGGTCTTCTTGGAGGAATGATCGTAATCTTGTTGGGTGCACTTGTGTGCGCATATACTGGTAATCAGCTTTCTGAGAACTGGACAATTCTTCAAGAACGATGGCCAGAGTATAGGCACCACTGTCGTAAACCCTATCCAGCAATGGGTTACCGAGCGATAGGGCCAAAATTCATGTAATCGTAATTTTATTTAGTTTTGCACTTTTTTGAACATTTGCTTCTCGAATCTGAGTAGGATATTAAGATTGGTCAAGTCTTAGACTCAGACTCAAGCTCAAACTTAGGCTTATCCCATGCCTCAAAAATTATTTTCATCCGGGGGCGAATGTCAAAAATCAAATGTCTTACGATCCAATTTTTCTGTTGTATTTTCAATCTGTAGAGCGCAATGGATTTCGCTTTCCATGTCCTGTCTCAGCCATCACTTCTCTTTTTATAATATCAATCCATTTCTTTCAACAGTCACGATACCTTCCGAGTCAATATTTTTGTTCAACTTCAGGTCAGTTGTCTCCGTTTGTCTGGATATCACGCAGTTTGGCACCGCGGTTGTTTTTATGCTTTTAGCAGCAAAGAATTTCGAGAATTTTCTCCACGTTTACGGTGGTGTTCACATCGGTTTTTGTTACTTGGTCATCATTGTTGGTATTTTCATGTTGCCTTTCACTATGCTCAAGAGCCCCAAAGACTTTTGGTACGTGCTGATTTTTGCTGACCTGCATAGGTGCTATTCACTCCAGTCCTTTCAGAACTGGAGTAGAAATCAAAACGACTCATAGCCTTACCTCATGCCTATGGATTTCTTTGAATTGCATAGTTTTCTCTACGCTTAAAAACGATTTCTTTTTAATAAGCCGTTTTTCATGAAACTACAAGCGAAAAAAGCATAAAAATTTTCTATTTAGAAACACAGCATTGTTTCGGATTGAATGTTTTTGCTGTAACAAATACTGCCCTGCCCATCAGATCCTTCGTGCGACCATCATTACTCGGACTTTATCTCATTTGATCTTAGTGGTTGTTGCTTGCAGTATGCTCCACTCTTTTGTGGCCTCTTGCATTCAGTCAAATTGTTTTTTCAGGTGGGCAGTTATTGGTGCAATGATAACAACTTCAATTGCTGTTACAATGATCATTTTTGGAGCATCAATGGACTTCTCGACGTGTTCACCGCATAATTCATATCCAAATCCGAAGATGGACAGGTTAATATTTCAAGCTAAGCGCTGTATGAAATTTGGTTAATGGAATTGCTTGGTAAATATTCTCACAATAATTGTGGATCATCAAAATTGCTGTTGTCATATTTTTCTCGTCAAAATATTGACCTTTGACAGCATTGAATTCTGGGAAAGAATTCTTCCTTTCCCAATAAAATGCTGAAACAGTAATCAATTTCTCATATGTCCTTTGACCCATTTTTTTTCAATGAGTGACTGCAAAAACAGTAGGGGAACATTTTCGTGAACTAATCGTTATTGTAAATTTCATCTAATTGATCATTTGTCAGTCACTGCTTAATGCGATTGTTTTATTCTGAATTGGTCATAGTGATCGGTTTAACATAGTGTCTTCTCTTTGTAGTGTTTCTTCTCGGATTATCGCTTCTCGAATTATTCAATTCGAGTGTCATTATCTTAAAACGATATTAATCCACTAATAACGCAACGATTGTGCGCAATTTATGCACAACAAGAATTTATTATGTGCGCTTAACATTGCTTGTGTTAAGGTTTTTCATGTCATTTGGCACAGTGATGTTTGCTTATGGTGGTCACGGTGCATTTCCGACGATACAACATGATATGAAGAAGCCATATCATTTCAATCGCTCAGTTTTACTCGCTTTCACAAGTTGGTTATTAAATGTAACGTTCACATAAAGGGTGCGTCTTTGAACGCTTCAAAAATGACCTCTGTTGTCTATTGTAAATCAAAAGTGATAAATCTATTTGGAATCTATCATTTTGCAGTAATTTTCGTAATGTATGCACCAGTTTCAATCATGGGCTATTGGGCATATGGCGACAGTTTGCATGATTCAATCATACCATCCCTCCAGGTGATCACATTGTTAGAATTCCGATCGAAGCTCCATCTTTTTTTAGGTCTTTGTTGACGTTAGATGAATGAGCTTCAGACGCAGAAGAAATTGATGTTCTTTTCAATTACAAAAAATCAATGATTTTCATGACAAAAAACTATGTGGAGCAATTTTAGTGAGTAAAGCGCTTTTTCGATGAATAGCAAGTTTGTGTTTATGTTTTGCAGTGATATGATTGCGTTCATTCATTTCACATAAATTAACTGATCGTCGTTTAATTGCAATATGATAATTCAACGATCGTTTCATGGAAACAGCCAAATCAACTTCACAGTCTGTTAGCGATGAATGTGCTGACAGTTTTTTCGCTTCTTGTTTTTTTTCTTCGATACAGTACGAAAGCATTGAAGTGTGCACGAATTTATAAAATTCTATGCTTAAATCGACTTCCAGTGAATGAGCATTAAAGTGAATGATTTTGGAAAACTGTTCCCTAGAGAAGTTTGTTTTCAGAATCTCTGGATTCAACAGGTCGTCAATGTGCTAATCACTTTGCATGTTGTGCTTGCTTTAACTATTGTTTTCAATCCGATCAACCAAGAGTTTGAGGAAATCCTGAATGTACCTCAAGGTTTGTGGGCATTTCCCCATCAGAAGTCATCTAGTCACAATTTTCCCTATTGGAGTCCAAATATCACTGCTTTTTTGGGATCACTGGAAGAAGTCAAACACACATTAGGCTGTTCCATTGTACATACTTATTATATATTTGCATACATCGGCTACAGAATGATTAGTACAATTTCTGCAAAATATTTCTTAGAATTCGGTTGGAAACGCGTTTTGTGTCGGTCTGTGATGATGGCAGCAGTAATTTTCGTTGCTGAAACAGTGCCCGAATTCGGTGTTCTACTTGATCTTGTTGGTGGATCTACAATCACATTGATGGCCCTCATATTCCCTGTTATATTCAACTTATTCTTGCACGCTGGTCATAAGAAGCATGAAGGCAAACTGGCTGCTTCAGGCGAAAATTGGATCACCATATCAGAGTTCGTTGCTGCAAATATTTCGCAAAATATTCATCCTCCAACACTTGAAAAATGTAGTGGTTCACATAAATCATGAAATGGAAATTTGTGAACCAATATAAGTGAATCGTGAGATGAAAATTATAAACTCTTTCATCTTGTGGACCACAATCGTATCCATTTCATAGCATTCGATTCCTTAGTTGCCTAATATCGGACACTATTTTAGGATTTTCCAATATACATCTAGAGGAAGGCTGACGATTAATCTCACGGTTTTTGGTAAGACTTTACCGCATCTATCTCTTCTACCAGCACGCATATCTTAACATTTTATGTCGACAAACTTCTAAATGATAATTCAGTTTTTGATGACGGGACAGCCTCATCGCTCGTTGCTTTGTTGCGTTTCTCGATTGATACGTTGGCTACAAATGCATTTCACTGATAATTACAATAACTATATCAGCATTTTTCCTCATTGTAACTGATCTGCATATGTCATTCCGGATTAAACAACGCATGGTGTTTTAGCCTTTGGCTTAATTGGCGGTTTTGCGGCAACATGGTCAGCAATGCATGCGATGCTAGGAGCGGAATTCTCACAGCCGTGCTATGCCGGCATCTTCCAAAGTACATCAGAAGTAATCGAGAATGGCACCAATCCAGTATTCAGGTATGAACATCGAAGCTTTTTCAAAATGATCCTCGAATTTACATTGAGTAACTTTATGCAATAAAATCGAGTCAAATAACTCAAGGCTTAGTGGAGTTAATTGTAAAACATGGAAACACAATTACAAATTAATCCGGACTTACACAGATCATTTTTAAAGCAGTCACGGAAAACTCAACTGCTGTGGAATGTTCAGAAATATCAGCCGTATTGGACCGTCAATCGATGTCTGTCTTCAACCAGAAGAGCTTCTGTTAATCCGATCAAGTCATGGATAAATATTTTGTTGAACAAATTATTTTCTGATCTGTTAAAATGTCTGTATTTCTCTCATTCTCTTCCCTGTTGCTTCTCCCTATACAGTTGTTAATTGCATCCTAATTAATAATAGTGCATTCATATGATTCAAATATGTGTGATGAACTTTCTTCGATTCATTTGGAATGCATTGTGGTTTTTCAAATGTGATTCCGAAGCGGGATCAACGTAATGGGTGAGAGGAAGCATCGTAGAAGAATGTTAAATCGATAGCGATAAATTGATAAATTGAGTTGATGAAGTCGCTCGATTGATGTTCGTTCAAAAGTATTCATTCCTATCACGCAAGGAGTTTGATGTTCTTCGTCTGAATGACCAGTTCTGTGTACTATAAATCCGGTCTGATGTATCGATATCAACTGGTGATCATCACTCATCATAGACGTCTTTACTTTCTCGTCGATCCGAATGACTCAGAAGACGTTTTTATGTTAATAATTCTTCACAGTAAATGCGTGCAGTACTGCCGAAAAGCAGAATTATTCACGCCAGAAAAGAGTATATCTGAAACCAAAACATGAGTTAAATGAAAATTCCATTTCAGAATTCATGTGCCATTCGAAGCCTTCTCATAATCGCAGTTGCTAACCATTTTTCCCCGAAAATAATTAGTGTATCACTAATTGGTGGACTGTTGAGAATTTTATTTAACCTTATCAACATCGGTGGTTAATAGGCATGATCAATCGATGCCAGCTTTTGAACAAAAACGAGTTTTCTGCTTCAGAAAACTCAACTTTTTCCTGATCCGTTTGAAGTTAAATTCATCACACACAGTAACACTTAGCATTACAGTTGTAAATTATTATTATACTATCACTAACTCTTACTGTTGTTAATCTTTTATTATTGTTGTTACTGTCGCCTTCATTAACAGTGCTGGTGCAATTTGTTACCAATTAGGTTGTTAATCATGAGCTGGTACTTTAGTTGATTTAAGTTATTTATTGTTATAATTGAAATCAATATCATGTTTGTCAATGATGCATTGATTTTGAATGTGACGTTCACTTTATACCTACCTGTATAAATATTAATATATTGTTGACCGCACTTCGCGATGCGTATCCATATAGTGCTTGCATGGCATCCCAGAATTCCGACCTTTGAACTCCGATCCCGAGATTCATCTCTTGAAAAATACCGGTACTTCGGGATTTGATAAAACACATTATTCTGCATGAAGTTGGTAGTATGCCCATCTTGAATCAAACATTAATCATCATCAGCTCATTCACATGCAGTCATATTTGTTGTTTATCACACACGTGTTAATGAAAAGATGATATTGCCACCTCGGCCATACGAACTCAGCGAGCAAGATCGGAAGGAAATAATAGACTTTTGCAGTGGAATCTTCGTAATCACCGTCAATACACTGTGTCATTGAGGTATTCACTTATTCAAAACAGCTGAAATGCAGAAGTTCTTCGTCGATGCACTAGGGAATTTGAATATGAACATTGCTAATGTTCTCTTGCCTGCACTTCTGGAGAAGATTAACGAACGTAGAATAACCAAGTTTAATGTACTTGATGAGATATAAGAATGATTCTGATTACATTCGAAACAGGCAGATTATATAGAGTATATGATCATGAAGGAAAATATTGTGGAACTGACAGTGAAGTTATCTTCGAAGCTATTCGGTGAGAGGACTGAAAGTGATGGTGAACTTGAGTCCAACTAGTGGTGTCTCTATTTCACGTTTTCGAAGACTGTTCAATTCTGTTGTATTCATCTCCTAAAACGACCTATTCTATCCTGTGCGTTCTTCCTTCGAGAACTGTTCTGTTCTGTTCTATTCCATTCCATCAGAAAAGTGATACGATAAAAGTTGTGAAAGTTAGGGCTGCAAACGTGGTTTTTTGGCGTTTTCAGTGCAAAGTGCAGATTATTTCGGATGGGGAAAGATTGTCCACGCAGGCAGTTGACAGCTTTTGACCGTGATGATTGGAGGAAAAGGAGGCTTTCAGGCTCTGGTAACCAGCATCATTGAAGAACGAAGGATTTCCGTTCGTCTCAACAATTCGGTCAGAAACTGGGCACGGTTTCTTGTACTAATGAGTTCGGAATGAACTGATTCGTTCAATCGGACTCAAATCCTCCAAGCATAAATTTTATTGGAGGCGTAAAATGTGAACAATTTCTGTGATGGATTGCTCCTAGAGTTTAGAGTACGACCAACATTTGAAAGTAGGGTGTTCATTCGAAAACACAGTTGCATCTTTAGTTGTTTCTGGAGGGAATTCCACACAAACAGTCTATGGCAGTTTTGAGAATTAACTGCGATAACTTGGCCTTGATGAACTGTTTCATCTCTCACTGATGGCCTTTCGCCTCTCCCTAACGATATTGAATATGATGTTTTTTGGTAGATTCGAATCTCTAACAGCTATCACCACTGAATTACTTGATTGAGGTTCATTTTGTTTCTGTAACTGATAAATAAAGTTCTAAAAATATTTGTTTCATTCCAGAAAATTAGTTTCTTTTAGGCCACTGAGGAATTTCCGGATCGGTTTTCGTTTTTTTACTGACGTTCTGTGTGGAAATATTATTGTAGCGGGAGAGGGTGGAAGTAATGACGGTCTGCCAGACCATCGAAGGGGGTAACAGAGCACCTGAGCATGAGAACCACTGCTATATACGGCTGTGTTGACATTTCATTTCAGTTAGTTCGATTTTTTTTGCCGGAAAAGTCAAGAAAAGGAACTTTCAGTTATGTTCTCTTCTGCAAGCTGTTATTGCGAACCGCAATATTTTTTGCGGAGGATCCCAACCGAACGCCCCGTCGGTGGCCATCGGGAGGCAAATTTTGGTCACCGGCCGGTTTCAATGAGTAGTAATCGAAGTTCGGATTGCCGACACCACCGACAAAAGAGTGCCTTTCGCTTGCGGTTGGAGGACACCAATTTTCGGGAGCCGCCGAATTTCATTAGACCCCGAAAGTTGTCCCTGTCTGGTTTCGATTGGTGGCACCGAAAGTTGTTGCTCACTTGCCACCGACCAAACAGTACATTTTCGTTACGGCCAGGGGCCGTTAATTTTCGGTGGCATCCGAAGTTCGGTGATCACCGAAAATCGTTTTTTTTTAAATGGCACCAAAAATCAAATTTTCTCAGTCCAGTTCGACGGAAACTTCTTTTGTCAGTTCTAGGGACGGAGATTTGCCTGCATCATCTTTCTGAATTACGCCAACGAATTCGGTATGGACGTTCAGCAGAAATACAAGTTTATCAATTCAGTAATTTTACGATAAATGCAACTTATTTACAAACAACATTATGGTGGGTCATAACAATGAAAACAATATCACAGATCAAAATAACAACTTATTTAAAAGCAACATCATGAAAAGAACTCTCTCCTTTACTCATATTCCCATATCATAATCATCACCATCACTCCGAAATCGGGATTCAACAGTTCCAAATGGATCCTGCAACTTTATTGCCAATATGAAAAGTGCTGAGGCATGATGGGATCTCGAAAACTGATGTTGCAGTTCCTATTATTATTGATTATTTGAGTGTTAATTCAATTTGCATTCACTGAGTAAACACACTGTGCTAATCATTTGGTTTGTTTATCATTTTTATATTTCTTATCAGTTCATCCGTTCGATCCAATACATCACAGTCTGATCGACTGCATTATTCACTTTTCATACTTCTCCATGATTTTTACATAGGCACTGATTATGCAATTAAGGATTCCACACAACTCATTCATTCCAGTTCCGTGCTCTTATTCTCCGAAACTGCTTGTTTACTTGCTGTTAAGATTTTCATGAACTATGAAAGTGTTCAAATAGGTGCTTATATTGATCACGAAATTCTCTTAGCATCTCTTCCTCGAGAAAAAGATCAAAGTAATCTCCACAAACAATGGAATAATTAAGTTGAAAATGGTCGTTCCAGTGTTGTGATTTGAATTGTTTTTTTTTTCATTTCACTTTCATGGAATAATTGTTCGTTTACTGCATATATAAATGAAGCATTTTCAAATTGCAGCCTCGAAAGTCGCATTAAATTTGACAGTACTTCAAGAGGAAGCTCATTCTTGTTATTGCTCACTGCTGCTTCCGAAATGGCATCACCATGTTCGACAAGTGAAAATGATGATACTCGAGCGAATGCATCGCCGAATCGAATGAAAGCGAACGCTTTGACTCAACGCGATAGCGACAAAACCTGCAAAGTAGTGAATTGCACTTCATTTCAAAAGGATTCATAGCACGTCTGTTGAATAAGTTCCACTTCTAATATTATTAACCTGAGATATACGAGAGAATGAAATTGAGACAAGTGAAAGCTTCATAAAGTCACTTATTTATCAGTTGTATCACTGAGCCCTGATGAATTGTGCCATTTTTAAAAACCCTTCAGCTTAGAGCAGTCCCAAGGGCTAAATCGCAAAATGTTACTAAGTGTAGGCTTATACTTTCAGTTCTAGTACAGGGTTATTGCCTTTAATGTGTTGACCCGTTTTTGAATATCTACAGTGATTTGTTGGTTATTTCGGTCACAACTTATTTTATTTATTAATCGTTGTTCTTCGTGGATGAAAAGTTTCGTTTAAACTGAAATAACTCCCTTTTCAAGATCTTGAAATCTTTGAACATTTTTCACTAAAATCATCATTTTGTACAGAACTTTCATTTATACAGAAGTCGCCCCCTTCGTATATATTATCAGCCATGCATGTTATTTTCGAATTATGGAATTTCTACAAATTCAGAATACAGTTTTCGTTCAAACCTTCTACAAGACGTTTTATCATTATCATTATTATTATTATTATTATTATTATTATTATTATTACTATTATTATTATTATTATTAT